TGTCTTCTTAGTAATCTCCAAAAGTCGCCGCCAGCACAGTAGGTCATGATAAGTAAGTGGTGGCTTGGTGACTCAAATGTGCATTCCAACTTCACTATGAATGGGTGCTTTAACTTCTGGAGTATCTCTTTTTCTTCTTCGAGTCGTTCTTGTCGTTTCCGATTTTCGTTCAAGAGCTTCTTGTCCATCACTTTCATTGAGTAGAGCTCTTTGGTCTTCTTGGATTGCACCAAATACACTCTGCCCATGTTGCCTCTGCCTATCAAAGCAACTTTCTTGAACTCTTTGGCGTTTGTAAATAGCGACTCGGGGATGTTATGGCTTGTGTTAACGTACAGTGAACGACCTAAAGGAGGTGCGTCGTCGTCCTCAGACGAACGCGACGAGGTTGTTTGGTCCGAGCTACTCAGCATACAATTGTTCTCTGTAATTTTGAAAATACAAGTTCTAAACACTTTTTTGAGATATAGTTTCCATCGATTAAAATCAAGTGCCTTAATCTTAGGCGATTATATCTTTTATGACGGGGTTATTTGGCTTACAATATTTTTTTAGAAAAACTAGCTTGTAAAAAATACTTATTTTTAGACTTCCAATTGGTTGGAATTATTAGCTCCAATTACTTCAGCCCTTTTCATCTGCTGATACAGGATTCCGCCTATACTTTCCGTTTTTTTTTTCTTTTATTACTCAAAATAGCCGGTCCTTTACTCTTTGTTTTGTGGGAATCGTGAAATTAACTATTATTGGGGGGCTTTGATTTTGAGAAAAGAAATATTATTGTACTATCAATTTACTATATGGGTAGTTACAAATTAATACTACTTTTTGTTTATAAAGCCAGGGTTGACTTTTAATCACTTTTTAATAAATTATATCAATTGTTGGGTTAAATGCCGAGGAGATTAGGGTTTGTCTCGCACCATTATTTGGAATGGCACGGGAATACAGAAAACATGGAGAAATTTGCCGCTCATTTCTGTGTCAGGAAAAAAAATGAAAAACATTACTAATAACATTTCATATAACATCTTGAATACCATTTTTCTGTTTTTTTCAAAAAATGTTATTGTTTAGGGGGTTAAAACTGTATTAGTTATTAATGTAAATTGTTTTATAAATAAACTACTCAAAAGTTGTTTTATCTTGCTCAAAAACCTAAAAGTTATAGTAAAAGAGTTACAAAATATAGTACATATAAAAATAAAGTGAACGAAGTAGTGAAGAATCAAGGTTGGATGCAATCAACGGAGGGATGGGCCTATTGGAATTTATAACCGCATCCCG